CCAGTGCCCTAATCCTTTGAGCCACAGGTGCCGCCCTCCAAGTCTATTCTTTACCAGTTATCTGTCCTAGGGTAATGAGAACCAGCAGAAGTAAGTACATTTTTGCTTTCTTCAAACTCAGCCTAAAAAATCCCCATTCTTTAACTTTCTGAGGAAAAATGTCTTCCCTTATTTGTGCTAATTAAAAAAATACAGATAATTACCAAATAAAATGCTGCTTTTCTGAATGTGCATCACACAGTCTTGAAATGAGACGTTCATACCAGATTTTACCCATGAATTAAGTGCATATGAGATTATGCACATTTTTTGATGGCTATCAAGACAAAAAAATCAATAACATATTGAGCCTAAAATCAAATGATGAACCATTAGAATAAGCACACACAAAAAATTCAAACTTAAAAACATATAATCAACCTATATACCGAAACTGTAATACTCTGTTCAGGTTTTCAGCTATATCTCGCCGTTTTAATAACGCGATCATCTCCTCATCTAAATCAGCCTTCTTCTGAGCTGGCACATATTTTATCAACATATCTTGTTTGATTTCAGAGTATTTATCTTCAAGATGTTTCATGTATTTAGTGAGAGCATCTAGATTGACCGATTCCTGGAGAGTCATGCCTGATGGAAAAGGGAACAGATCAAACAGGCCAAGCCATGCACAGGACTCTTGTGTTCAAATAGCAAGTTTTGGCAAGATAGTGCACTATGTTAAGGAATAATTCAGAAAGGGTGCATAGAATTAGCATAAAATTGCAAATGGCTAGCGGTTTTAAACATCATCAGGGAAAACTCAGTGCAGATTGTTCTGAGAAGTCTTAGCATTTGAAAAAAAAATTTTTTAATGACCTCATCACCACACCCTGAAAACCCCTACATATCACTGTTACACAATAAAATTAAGAGCCTCTGCCTAACAATGAAGAATTTATTAGATTTCTTTCTAACCAAATCTCCCATTACTCTACTAGAGCTGAGTGATCATTTTGCACTTGGTGAGAGTAGAGACTAGAATCACTTTTAAATATAAAATTGCAACTAGCAAATGACAAACAAGGTATTTATAAGTACAAAATAACTGACAAATTGACTACACGCCGAGAAGGATGATGAAAACTGAGGAGAATTAATCCAGGGAAGTTTTTGGACTAGAGTATCAGAGATATACAAAATTACATGTATACATGCCCGCCAAAAATCTTCAGTGCTCTCTCCCCTCTATTCCTTATTCCTAACACACATGTGCTCATCCACACACATGCACGTGCACAGACACACACACATATCCCCCACTGCCTCTTTCTCACGCAAGCCAATTATAGACTTTAACATAGACATGCCTCAAAATATTCTCCTCCAAAAACTTCCCTGGATTAATTCTACTCAGATTTAGTCACCTTCTCAGAATTTAGTCAATTTGTCAGTTATTTTGTACTTATTAATATAAGTATCTTGTTTGTCATTTGCTAGTTGCAATTTTATATTTAAAAGTGATTCTAGGCTGGGCGCCTGTGGCTCAAGCAGCTAAGGCACCAGCCACATACACCTGAGCTGGCGGGTGCGAATCCAGCCCGGGCCCACCGAACAAGATGGCTGCAACCAAAAAATAGCTGGGCGTTGTGGTGGGCGCCTGTAGTCCCAGCTACTTGGGAGGTGAAGACAGGAGAATCACTTGAGCTCAGGAGTTGGAGGTTGCTGTGAGCTGTGATGCCACAGCACTCTACCCAGGGCAACAGCTTGAAGCTCTGTCTCAAAAAAATAAAATAAAATTAAATTAAATTAAAATTTAAAAAATTAAAGTGATCCCAGCCTCTACTTTTACCAAATGAAAAATGATCACTCAATTTCAGTTGAAATCCTTAGAAGCTGAATATGGAGTAGCTCATTATTTCAAGATAGAACTGCTTCTACTGAAACCAAATCAGGCTTCCTGAAATTTTGACCAGTTAATCTTCTCTCTGAACAAACACTAACCCAAATCTTTAAAGTTTTGAATACTGTTATTTCCCCCACCCCAGGTTCAATATTTTCAATTCTACCTACTCATCCTACAACCTCTCAACATCCTGGACATACTCCAATTTCTTTCTTTTTTTTTGAGACAGAGCCTCAAACTGTCCCCCTGGGTAGAGTGCCGTGGCATCACAGCTCACAGCAACCTCCAACTCCTGGGCTCAAGCAAGTCTCCTGCCTCAGCCTCCCAAGTAGCTGGGACCACAGGTGCCCGCCACAAAGCCCGGCTATTTTTTTTTGGTTGTAGCCATCATGGTTGTTTGGTGGGCTGGGTTGGATTCGAACCTGCCACCATAGGTGTATGTGGCTGGCCTTAGCCACTTGAGCCACAGGCGCCGAGCCATACTCCAGTTTCTTAAATGTGGCAGCAGTATTACATGGAAGATGTGGAACAGTGGATGATGACATCTGCATGAATCAACAGTATCATCAGAACTTAAGACACTGCAGTTCTTCCATGTGTGATATGACACCAGGGGTTCTCAGACGTTAGAGTGCATGGGAATAACCCAAAGGACTTGCCAGAACACTGCCGGGCTCCATCCATCAAGTTTCTGACACAGTGAGTTGTGATGGGGGCTAGGGTGATCCTGATGTTGATACAGAAATCACACTTCAAGAGCCACTGCATTATGCTTTCCATAGCCCAGCCAGACTGGAACTCTTAATTTTTTAAGGTTGTTTGAAGTTTTTTTTTTTTTTTTAATTCCCTTGGATCCAGCTAGAGTCCTGACTAAAGTTGTCTATACAACATATACTTGGAAGACACATACATATCAGCGATTTATATTAATTTGTGTAATAGGTAATAACTGAAAACAGTCAGGATTTCTCTCAAATATTTTAAACAAAATACAGTACCTGGAATAGGTTTTGAAGGATCTCTGACGAAGGTATATTTTATTTTTGATGTGTCATACTCTGCCCTAAGCTCTTTCACTTTATCTATCTGTGATTGAATCTTTGAGGAATTATTTTCAATAATCCTCATCCTGAAAAACAGAAAGTCTTTGTTATGTTTCTTTTAATTAATTGAACTCTTCAACCATAAGATTTAAAATAAACACTGTTAAGTCATGACTTTATTTTGGCTAATCATCATTTTGAACTATTACAGCCCAGGAGATTAAAGGACAATGCCCTGACACGTTAACTAACTTCACGAATGAGGAACAATTTGTTTTCAGATAATCAATAAAATCTCATACTGATTCTCAGCTCTACTGGAAATTCCTAAGTGTCAAACATAATCATCTGACCACAAAATACTATCTATTCCCTTTGATAAAAAATTACTTTTGTTATTTACAAAATCATTTTTGTAAGAAATCATATTCATTTCCTGTGGCTGTTGTAACAAATTACCACAAACTTGGTGATTTAAAGCAAAGGAATTTACTATCTCACAGTTCTGGAGGCTAGATGTCCAAAAATCAGTATTACTGGATGAAAATCAGTGTTGTCAAAGCAGTGTCTCCTCCAGAAACCCCGGGGGAGCATCTGTTTCTTTGTCTTCCAGTCTCTGGGGACTGCAGACATTCTGTGACTGCATCACTTCAATCTGTGCCTCGGTGGTGACACTGCCTTCTCCCCTACCTATTAAAGCTCTGTCTGCCTCTTGTAAGGATAACTGCAGTTGTATTTGGGTCTCATCTCAATAATCTAACTCAAAGTCATTAATTTAATCACATATGCAAAAATCTTTTTCCAAATAAGGTTAACATTTATAGGTTCCAGGGATTAGAACTTTGAGGTCTATTATTCAGCCTACTATAGTAATTTTGATCCTAGAACTAGGACCATTAAAGACCATTAATTAAATTATTTTCAAAAGACATTCAAAGCACAGTTAAGAATATTTGTTTTTTTACTCTTTTTTTGAGACAGCAACCTCAAACTCTTAGGCTCAAGCAATCCTCTTTTGCCGCCTCAGTCTCCCAAATAACTGGGACTACAGGTGCCTGCCACAATGCCTGGCTATTTTTAGAGGTAGGGTCTCATTCTTGCTCATGCTGTTCTCCAACACCTGAGCTCAATCAACCCACCTGCCTTGGCCTCTGAGAGCGCTAGGATTACAGGCATGAGCCACCATGCCTACTTTTTACTTTATTTTTGGTCAACATGATTTAAGTGTGCTGCAGAAATTTTACTATAGGTTCAAGTGTACAGTGAGATAAAAAAAAAAAAAGGCTGAAAAACACTGACCTAGAGGGTGGCAGGAGATGAGGAATTTGGTTAGATATGGATCAGATACTAAAGATGGGGGATTCTGGCTGAACCTACTGGATCCTACTTGATAGGATTCTTGCTAAAATTAGTTGGCACAGAGATGAGTATGCGAGTCAGAAAAGTTAGCCTAGTTGAAAACTGTTTAGGTGGGTCTGAGTTTGATCAGGGAGAATCTTTCTTAATATATAAATGTCACAGGGTTTTTGGCAAGTAAATAACTGCTGCCTGCTTCTCATTATTATATGCAGTTCTTGAAATAGGCACTGTAGAAATAAAATATCCTTTGGCTTTATTCCAAATAAATTTGTGCTTGTAAAAGAAAAGTATGTTAAAGGCAAACAGGCTGCCAAAACCACTGAAGCAGGGACTAAGCCTACTTGTACATGAATGTTGCCAGTGGCACTATTCACAGCCAAAGTTGAAACGATCTGAGTGTCCATCTACAGATGAATGTATAAGCATCATGTAGTACACATGTACAATGGGTTATTTGGCCATCAAAAGAAAGTTTCAATACAAGCTATGACAAGAATGAGAAAGTCTAATTGTTGCTCCTTTCTATACTACTTTATAACCTGTTTGGTTTTTTTTTTAATTTCAGGTTAATGTGAGGGTACAACTAGGCTACAGTATTTGTACTGTTAGGAAGATTCCCTCTCACAGTTGTGTTCCCATTTTTGGCAATTTCACTATGATGAATCTAGTTGAATATTTCCTAGGATTGATCATGCTTGGGCATCTTTGGGTTTCTTAAATCTGTGAATTGTATCCTTTACCAGTTCTAGAAAATTCTCAGCCATTATTTCTTCAAATATTGTCTGTCCATATTCTCTCCTCCTTTAGAGCTGTGATTAGACATAATAATATGATCTTCTCACTCTATCCTTCATATTGCTATAATGGCTTTATTGATATAGTTCACACACCTTAAAATTCACCCTTGGAAAGTGCAGAATTCAGTGAATTTTAATATATTCAGTTACACAATCCCAACCACTATTTAATTCCAGAACACTTCATTGCCCCCCAAATAAACCTTGTATCCATCGGTAGTCTGCTAAGCAGAAGGCAATTTTCCATGCATTCCTTAGGGGTTGAAAAGTTTACCTGCAGTTTAGCCTACTAGAGTGTAGCCCTCTATTACCCTATCTTCATATGGTCAGAGTTTCCTAGACTACACCACATGGGCAGATCCTGGGCTTTGTTTTCTATACCCTGTGACACAGTAAAAACTGAAACTTTATCCACTCATAGGTTGATGAGCACTTGGGTTGGTTCCATATCTTGGCAATTGTGAATTGGGTTTCAATAAACATGCAAGTGCAAATGTCCTTATGGTAAAATGATTTTTTTTCTTCTGGGTAGATACCTAGTAATGGAATTTCTGGGTCAAATGAAAGATTTATTTTTAGCTCTCTAAGGATTCTCCATACTTCTTTCCAAAAAGGCTGCATTAGTTTGCAGTCCCACCAATAGTATAAAAGTGTTCCCTTCTCCCCACACACAAATGCCAGCATCTGCAGCTTTGGGACGTTGTGATGTGGACTACTCTCACTAGGGTTAGGTGATGGCTCAAGGTGGTTCTGATTTGCAGTTCTCTATACAATGGAATACTATTCAGCCATAAAAAGACAGAGATGTGACATCTTTTATTTTTTTCTTATCTTTTTTTTTGGGGGGGGGTAACATCTTTTATATTAACCTGGATGGAGGTGAAGAACAGTTCTCCTTAATAAAGTATCAAAACAATGGAAAAGCCAGTATCCAATGTACTCAGTACTAATATGAAACCTGTAGATGAACAACTGCACACCCACATGAGAGAAAAACATAATGTAATTCAAGTAGGGGGAGAGAAGGAAGAGGGATGGGAAGAGGGAGGGGGATTGGCAAGTGCTCACTTAATATGCCCCATGTAAAGGTATGGCACACCTCCTGGGTGAAGAGCTCAACTACAACTTGGACTTTAGGTAACAATCACAAAAAATGTAACCTAATCATCTGCACCTTCACATTAAGCTGAAATTAAAGAAAAAAAAGAAGAAAAGAGAAAAAAAGGACTGGGTGAGGTGGCTCATGCCTGTAATCCTAGCATTCTCTGAGGCTGAGGCAGGTAGATTGCTGGAGCTCAGGAGTTGGAGACCAGCCTGAGCAAGAGCCAGAACACTGTTTCTACTAAAAATAGAAAAATTAGCCAGGCATGGTGGTGTATGCCTGTATTCCCAGCTACTCAGGAAGCTGAGGCAAGTGGTTTGCTTAAGCCCAGGAATCTGAGGTTACTATGGGCTATGACACCATGGCACTTTACCCTGGGGAAACAGCAAAGCTCTGTCTCAAATATATATAGAGAGAGATAGAGAGATAGAGATATACAGTTATAGATACACGTTGTTACTGAACAGAACAAAAAAACCACCCTGAAATGTAAGGGAACTAGTTTTAGTAAATGTTCCACAGGCTCAAAGCAGAGTTGGTCTGCTAATTTGCTCTAATTACCTTTTGTCTTCCAATAGATTTTTGCCCTGATAATCTCTTATTATCTCACTGGCTTTTTAATGCTATGGAAAGATTTTTGTTGCCCCAAGGTAGAGTACTGTACTATTATGGTAACCTCAAATTCCTGGGCTCAAACGATCCTGCCACCTCAGCCTCCCAGAGTGCTAGGACTTCAGCTGAGAGCCATCATGCCTGGGAAAGATTTTTTACAAATATTTTATGTAGCTGGGTGTGGTGGCTCACACCTGTAATCTAGCACTCTGGGAGGCTGAGGTGGGTGATTGCTTGAGCTCAGGAATTTGAGACCAGCCTGAGCAAGAGTGAGACCCTATCTATAATAAAAGTAGAAAAACTAGCCAGCATTGTGGAAGGCACCTGTAGTTCCAGCTACTTGGGAGGCTGAGGGAAGAGGATTATTCAAGCCTGAATTTGAGGTTGCTATGAGATAGGATGCCACGGCACTTTTCCCAGAGTGACAGAGACTGGGAAAAAAAAAGAGAAAAAAATTATGTAACATTATCCCCAAGAAGGTGGTCCATCCCAACATCTAGCCAGTTGCATAAACCAGAAATAGAAGTCAAATATTGCATAATTTTCTAAGTTGCTTTAAAAATCTAAGTAACTTATCTAAATCTTTAAAAATCAAAATAATTTATCTGTCATTTACCAAATACACACTGAAAATGTAAGACTACTCTGTAAGAGTGAGCACTTTATTCTCTCTCAGTAGGTTACTTACCTTTGTGTATCACAGGATTGAAGTGCTCTGATTTAGAGCGTAATTGTGAAATTGCACTATGAAGAAATTACCTGGAGCAATTACCTACATCCCCCATTTTATGATACTACAATGTGCTTCCAATTATACCAACAGATGTCATATAATTCTCAAACCAAATCAGCATTTGTTTTAACTTTAAAATAAGTAACAAATACAGTAATTTCAAGTTAGGAGAAGAGGGTAACATAAAAACATGGCTTTAAAATAAAACTGAAATTCAAAAAGACTAAGAGCCTGGCATTATAATCAAGCAATAGTTAACGCTTTGGGGGCCAGTTACTAATATACTTACTTTGCTTCAAGTTGGATTATTCTTTTCCTATGATATACCAAAGCCATGGGCTCTGCTGCCAAAACTTTAAGCCTTCTGTGAAGGAAAACTGTAGTTCTTCGGTCTTTCTTTAGTGTCTCAATAAAGGCATCGTATTCTTTTTTGATTGAAGTAAGAATGCATTTGTATGCAGTGACATATTCTATTACCTGAAATATGATTTTTCTGCCTATGGTACTGAATTTTTTTCTAGAAAACTGTGGATCCAAAGCCTTGCAAATAGCATTATAGATTATTTTTAAAATGAAATATGAATACCAATTAGAAATGTAAAAATTGTACAGCAAGCTCAAACATACCTGGACAGTAAAGAAAGTATTTATCAAATCTGTGCTCTTTGAGGATTATTACAGTAGATACTGTGAGCTCAAACTCATGTAAAAAAGACCATATTCTTGTTCTGCTTGGTATAAACACGTACATTATGTCAGTTAAAACTAAGATTAGTCCTAATTTTCCCAACTCTTAGCCTTTTAAATATAATTATATATCTTTTCTTAATCCTTCCAAATCTAGCCTCTGACTTCACTTAAACCTTAAAATCCTAGCCTTTCACTCCTTATTTTTTCTAACCTATCAGCTCCTACTGCCTGGTCCACAGTCTCAATTCCTAGCTGCACTTCTATTTCCAAGATATCAAAGGCAACCATTAAAAAAACAAACAAAAAACGAGAGCAAAACCTTCATCACTATACATAGCTTCCAGTGGTGTGTAAGCAGAGACTACTCCTGGAAGGGTAACAGAGGAAAACCGAAACAGTGAGTGCCTGTGGAGAAGGAAAAGGGTGAGTGGGGGCTGAGATGACAAGGCCCCGGCTGCCCATTGCACACTCTCCTTCACTGGTTTATTTATTCATTTATTTTTTTGTTAATCTTGTGTATGCATTGCCCATGCAAAAATAACTCATTACATTTTTAAATAAGTTGGAATAGGTAGGATCAATCTACAATTTTCTCTAAAAGCTGCAATTATGCTTTGTATTTTTGCTACATCTCTAGCCTCTGGTATTCTCCACTGGTTTGCTTTATAATATCTAGAAAAAGGTTATCCAGAAAGACACCTATCAAGAAATCATATAAAAAAAAGAAATAATATTAAAAAATTATTGATCAGTGGCAAGTTAACAGAAGAAATTTGAGCGGGAAATTTGGTTGTTTTTTTGACATGACCATACTACCTATCCACCCAAATCAGGAACCTTTAATAAAACAGAGGTCATGAATCTGTGGCCTTCTAAATGAAGTGCCCTGCTGACCGTCTTCCACTTCACATACCTCTGTGATGCACTCCAGCAATCCAAGATAACGCAGATATGTTAATGGGTAGCTAAGAGACTTAGAGTGATACCATGATCAGATCTCATGGCTGCTTGCTAGGAGAAAGAGATTTGAAAAAAGCACTCCTAAGACCTTTCATAATGCTCAGAACAGGTGTTAGAGGATGTGGCTTGGCATGCCATGGGCAGAATACAGCTGGCAATTTTGCTTGACCCACAAAATACATTAAAACTTAAGAAATTTCACCCCGAAACCATATTTTTCAGCTTTCCTTAAAATTCTGAAAAATCTAGCCATATGGAACCCCCAATCCTTAGTGGCAATAGCAGCAGCTTTAGATTTGCACCGGTTCTACATTTCACCAAAATCCCTATCATTCTTTATTCTCCCATAGCCAGCCTACTTTACTCTTTTATACTACGTTCCTGGTCTCTGCAGACATTCAAGTTTGAAACTCCTATATTAAGTGTGCCATTAATCCCCCCCCAAAACATAGCCATACTTACCAGGTACAAGGGTCTGAGAAAGAAGAGGAATGGTATCCATTCCACCCTCAGCTCCTAAACATGGATCTGAACTATTTGTACAACATGCCATAGGAACACAACAGGCCAGCCACTTTCCAGAGGGTGGTTGCCTCCATGTGTCACCCATGTCTATAAAGGCTCACTCTTCCCAGCTAGGGTCTTCTTTGCTTACTAGGTTCTTAGCTTGCTCTACAATCTACCCCCAACTGTTGCTATGAGTTTCAAGCCCTCCAGGTCAAACCATCTATTTTTTATTTAAACACAATTTGTTCTCTGGTTCCAAGTACCCAGAGTTACAAACAGAGTGTTTTATCTTTTGCCCAATTAGATCCTTCCAAGAGAGTAGGAAGATCAGAGAAGATAGTCATTAATACTTCATTAACAATCAAATATGCTAAAATAATGTGAAATTGAAAGAGGCAGATTATCTGTTATTGAGAAGCTAGAAGAAAAGTTTCTCGGCTCGGCGCCTATAGCTCAACCGGCTAAGGCGCCAGCCACGTACATCTAAGGTGGCGGGTTCGAATCCCCAGCCCGGACCCGCCAAACAACAATAATGGCTGCAACCAAAAAATAGCCGGGCGTTGTGGCGGGCGCCTGTGGTCCCAGCTACTCGGGAGGCAGAGGCAGGAGACTCGCTTGAGCCCAGGAGTTGGAGGTTGCTATGAGCTGTAATGCCATGGCACTCTACCCAGGGGGACAGCTTGAGGCTCTGTCTCAAAAAAAAAAAAAAAAAAAAAAAAGTTTCTCTAAGTACCAAATGATTTCCATTTCAGATTCCCTCTCAATCCTGAAGAGTAGGATTCTTAACCAAGTCCAATGTATAAGAAAAAAAAAAGCTAGGTAAAAAATTAGGATCTTGGGCGGCGCCTGTGGCTCAGTGGGTAGGGCGCCAGCTCCATATACTGAGGGTGGAGGGTTTGAACCCAACCCTGGCCAGATTGCAACAAAAAATAGCCGGGCGTTGTGGTGGGCACCTGCAGTCCCAGCTACTCAGGAGGCTGAGGAAAAAATAAAATGTTTTTAAAAAAAATTAGGATCTGTAGGCAAATTGTGATTGTTTATGAGGAAAATAGGTATTTCTTAAAGAGCAAAATCAAAGACGTAAAGTCATAACATTTTCTAAGCTCATCTCCGTATTTCCAAGGTTAAGTCCAATCAAACCTCTTGTTCATCATGCCAGTCTAAACCTCTAATCTATAAAGGGTCTCAATTTAATATGCTAGTTCAAATCTAGAGCAAGATTTAAAACTCTTCAAACTCCTGAGCTCTGGTGATCCTCCTATTTCATGCTCCTGAGGAGCTGGGACTACAGGTGCACACCAGGACACTTAGCTAGTTTGGGGGCATTTTTTGGTTTGTTTTTTTGAAATAGAGTCTTACTTTGTCACCCTCGGTAGAGTGCTGTGCTGTTGTAGCTCACAGCAACCTCAAACTCTTGAGTTCAACTGATTGTCTCAGCCCCCGAGTAGCTGAGATTACAGGCACCTACCCAAACACTTGGCTATTTTTTAGAGACGGGGTCTCACACTTGTTCAGGCTGGTCTTGCACCTGAGAGCTCAGGCAATCCACCCTCTTTGGTCTCCCAGAGTTCTAAGATTACAAGCATTAGCTATTTAAAAAAATGTTTTGTAGAAGGTCTAGCTATGTTGCCTAGGCTGGCTTCAAGTGATCCTCCTGCCGTGGCCTCCGAGTGCCTAAAGCAAAATTATAATGATACCTCAACCCCAAAAAATAAGGAACTATCAGGTTCCTGCTTACAGCCTAATTCCTAATTAGAGGATACCTTCAGACGGAAATGTTAAAACCATTATCAGAGAGCACAGCCATGTTGCTGGTCAAAAGCAAATACTCTGCTCTTAAGCCAAAGTAACGGAAACACTCGATAACAGATAATTTAAAGAGCATTGCATTTTCCCATTCATCTCTTTCTGACAAACTGGATAAGCTTCTCAACTAACAAACAGAATGTGGTCAACCAAGCAGTGGTGTTACTAAGGCAGGAATATCAGTTGTCCAGATAGATCATTTCTACTCTTGTGAAAAGTTCATTGTCTTAAAAGCATTAAGATACCTTATCAAAAACATTTCGGTATATGATGTAATATTCATCAGCAGGTCCTTCCTCATTACAGCCCACTCTTTCAGTTTCTGTAATAATGTATCTTTGCATACTTTCCAAAAATTCCTTGTCACTTCTACTAATGATAGGAGGGAGGACTGTATGTTTATTGATTTCTTGGACTGACATATGTCAACAATCTGCACACTTGTTCACCAGAGAAAAGTTAAATTTTGAGCTGCTTTCGCAACAAAGCCAAAACTCTGATGTGCCTGAAAGAAAAAAAAAAGACCATCAATTAATCCAAAGGTTTAAAAAAATTAATTCAAATATTGATCTTAAAAAATGTGTATTTATTTCAGAAAAGCAAATTTCCCGTAGGTCTGTGTCTGAGATAAACGTTTCACTCTATGAATTAAAAGGGTTATGTTACCCTACCACCATGTGCGGCAGCATCTCTGCGACAGACACACCCGACACCAGTCAATTAAGAACTCTTCTCTTTCTAGCCAACCACAAACCCTCTCACATGTATCATATGATGGTTTCTTATGTTTAACTCAACACTTTCTAATAAAAGGGTTAGTAGCTTATTTGTTTCATGTGAGAAAACAAGTTTGTAACCCTTTCGATGACACAAACAAGGTCAAATACTTCCCTACTCCAGTGCCTACCTGTCCCAGTCATCGTCACCCAGCTATGAATACTTTGTCTTTATGGTAAACTTTATTAAAATTCTCATCTTTATTATGAAAGCAATATCAAAAAGTAAGAGGTCAGGGATTCTACTGAAATCCATCCACCAATGGTGTCAGACATTACCCTTCAGGGTATAGTTTTCCAGCAGCTGCGTTACACTGCTTTTAGGAAAGAACTGTTACCCAGCCAAAGTTGGATATAGGATACAGAAGTCGGTTCCAATCTAGTCACATTAACATCAAACAGAACCCTGACTTCCTTAACAATGTCTGGCAAGGCAAAACATTTTAACTTTATTTCCAGTTACAAAAGTATATACTCACAATATAAAATTTGGAAAACATTACCCAAAGAAAAAGAATGAAAAAAATCCCCAAATTATTCAGATTACCACTACCCAAAATAATCACTCTTTAGTATTTTAGAATATTTCCTTCCATTTTTTTTTTTTTTTCCAGACAGAGTCTATGTTGCCCTCGGGAGAATGCAGTGGCATCACATCTCACAGTAACCTCAACCTCTCGGGCTTAAGCGATTCTCCTGCCTCAGCCTCCCAAATAGCTGGGACTATAGGCGCCCTGCCACAATGCTCGGCTCTTTTTTGTTGCAGTTGTCATTGTTGCTTAGCTGGCCCGGGCTGGGTTCCAACCCTCCAGCCTCTGTGTACGTGGCTGGTGCCATAACCGCTGTGCTACCAGGAGCAAGCCCCAATCTTTCTTTTTCTTTTGGAGACAGAGTCTCATTCTGTTGCCCTTGATAGAGTGCCTGGGTTAGCTCACAGCAACCTCAAATTCTTGGGCTCAAGAGTTCCTCTTGCCTCAGCTTTCCAAGTAGCTGGAACTACAAGTGCCTGCCACCATGCCCAGCTACTTTTAGTAGAGACAGGGTCTTGGTCTCGCTCTTGCTCAAGCTGGTCTTAACTCCTGAGCTCAAGCAATCACCCACCTCGGACTCCCAGAGTGCTAGGATTGAACACATGTGCACAGAGAGAGACAGAAGGAATAGCACATGCCTTCCAATCTTTGTAATTATAAAAATTAGGATCAAGCCTATTCAGTTATGTACCCTTTTCATTTAATATGAAAAGCATTTTGCTGTGTTAAGTAGTTTCAAAAACATGATTTCTAAAAGATTGCATCATATTTCATGGTACGATATTCCATAATTTATTTCCCCAAGATAGGACATTTTACCATTATAAATGTCTAAATCAATATCACTATGTTTTGGCAGAAAAATTAATACTTGGTTATCTTTAATAATATATACAGCCTATAGACACTGCCTGTAGGCTATATGTACAAGAGACACCCAAATAACTTTGAAGTTTAAAAGTCCAACTTTATCTTAATGTTGAACTGGATAACATAAAGTCAATTTATAAAGGAACAGAAAGTAGGTCCTACAACACAACAAATGGATTAACACCCTTCCCAAATGAGAAAGCAATTTGTTCTTTCCACTCAACCAGTTTGCGCTGAGTATCTACTAAGCACCAGTTACTGTCTCACAATGAGGGATTCAGCAACAAACAAGAGAAAGTCTGGTTCCTTCCAGTTTACAATCTAATAGAGGAGGAGACAGACTATAAATAAATACTGTAATTTGAAATAGTAAAAGATAAAGGGCAAAGGAGGAAGGAAGGAATGTAATCACTGGGGAGTGGGTAGTCACATCTGAACACCAGTGACTTCCTATAGTATCACCTATAGGATAAACTCCAAGTTCCTTTACTTGGCCTATTACTGCCCTGTAGGAACCAATGACTATTTGACTAAATCTACTGTCTTCATGTCTCCATTCTTCTCTCCACAGCCCCCACTGCCTTCTCTCTTAGGGTCCTCCATAATTCTGTCCCCGCTACAGAGCCTCCTCCCGCAGTCTCCGTTCCCCCACCCGCCACCCCCCAAACACACACATACGGCTACTCTCATTCACTTGGCTTTTTCTCATTCTCCTTCTGAAGATCTCACGTATTTCTCAGTCTGCCCGGCAGCCCACTCGGATTCCCTTCCCGGGGAGGCCCGGGGAGTGTCTGGTAGACCGCTGACTCTCCGCCCCTCACGGGCCCTGTAAATGGACGGCTCGGTGTCCCACAACCTTTTTTCGCCCCTTAAACTTTCCCCCCAGTCATCTCTGCCGTTCCGACCCTCCCCGAAATCACTGCTCTGCTGCAGCCTTCCTCCGGTCTTCACCTGAATCCCTTCTGCAAGCACCAACTCAGGGCTTAGAGATAGTAACTAGGGAATCTGGGGTACGGCGCTGCACCTTGGGACAAGTAGTCCTGGCTCGAACAGCAATGGAAAACTACAAATCCCAGAATACAATCCCATTTCCTCCCTTTCCGCAAGGAGCCGCCCTCCACCCACTGCTTTTTAAAGCTCCTGTTAGCCACGTCGACTGAAGGGGAAAAGGTTTTTTTTTTTAATGTTTTAGAGTTGTTTAAATCTACCATTTTGAGAGCAATCTGCAGGCTAAAGTGGGAAGTAAGCCCAGGGCTACAGAGAAGTGAATTTCGCAGCGAGTCGGGCGCTGAGTTAGACAGTCGCCCCGAGAGCAGTCCGGCATTCGGGCGGTCGCCTAAGGGCTGGGGCCTTCGGCGGGGGCGCCGGGAAACCCCGTGGGCCGGCGCCGCGCTCTCCCTTTCCGATCCGCCATCTGCGGTGAGTGTGTGCTCTGGGCCGCTCTCCGGCCAGCGACCTTTGCATAGCCTTCTCGTGTGGCCCTAGCTCTAATTCTTTTTCTTTCCCCCACCTTCAGGTGGAACCGCCACCAAGATGCAGATTTTCGTAAAAACCCTCACGGGGAAGACCATCACTCTCGAGGTAGGGGCTCCGTGCGGTGGGGAGGCCGAGGCCTGCTTGAGGTCCCGAGGTGGATTTGGGGACCGGCGCTCTTTTCCAAGCCTTTGAACGCGATTTTGGATTTGAGTTTTGACTCCAAATTAAGGGTTGTTTTCTGACCAAAGATCTAGAGCTGCTTTTTGGCGTTTAGAGAGGTTCCGGCAAAATAGTCATAGTCAAAGCAGGAGACCTGCGGCGGGGCAGTAGTTGCAGCCCTCGGCCGGGCGGGCGCGAGCACGTGTGGCTCAGCAGCCGCGTAGGCGCTGGGGTAGAGAAGAGGACGTAAGCTCGCCGTTTGCAGTCCTGGGCGGTTTCGCACTGGGTGGGTGATCAGCTTTTTTGTAGGCTTCTGTCCAACCCCCCGGCTCGGTTCTGTGGTAACTCCAAGCAAGTTACTTGCAGTTTTTAATTGTGAAAGTATTGTGCTTGAATTTTAAACTCATAGGTTGAACCCTCGGATACGATAGAAAATGTGAAGGCCAAGATCCAGGATAAGGAAGGCAAGTAATATTTTGTGGTTTAGGAAAATTAACCTGTAGTGATGCCAACCTATGGTGGGATGGAAAGAAAAAGGTCAGATTGACAAGTACTATTTGGATGACACAGTAGAGTAGATACTTACGTGCACAAAGATTCCTAGATTGGAATCCCTGCAGTATATTTCACTTACATGAATCTGGACAAGTTTTTAAACTGACTGCTCATGTAAAGGTTTATATATTAACACACGTTAAGTGTTGTCTTTAAATGTAAACTCCGAAAACATTGAGAACCAGGCCTAGCCTGTGGTAAGAGCTTAGTGACATCTGTTAGTACCACTTACTTGATTTTGGGTTATTACTTTGTAAGTCTGAAGTACATAGGCTTGTTCTGTTCTGACTGTTTTGGGTTTTTAAATCAGGAATTCCTCCTGATCAGCAAAGACTCATTTTTGCTGGCAAGCAACTAGAAGATGGACGTACTTTGTCTGACTACAACATTCAAAAGGTCAGTTTGGGAGAGAAGAACAGCTTTTTTTTATTATTATTATTAAGTCATAGCTGTGTACATTAATGCAATCATGGGGTACAATGTGCTGGTTTTATATACAATTTGAAATATTTTCATCAAACTGGTTAACAAAGCCTTCACTGATCCTGTTAAGACATTTATATTCTACAGCTAGTAAATTTCACATGTACCCTTGTAAGATGCACCTTAGGTGTGGTCCCACCAATTACTCTTCCCTCCACCCATCCTTCCCCCTTCCCCTACCTCTCCCCTTTCCCCTTCTTGGGTTATAATTGGGATATAGCTTTCATAGTAAGACTGGTACACTGGATACTTTTTCTTCCATTCATGAGATACTTTGCTAAGAATAATATGTTCCAGCTCCATCCATGTAAACAATGTAAGAGGTAAAGTCTCCATCTTTCTTTAAGGCTGCATAATATTCCATGGTGTATATATACCACAATTTATTGATCCATTCATGGGTCGAGGGGCACTTGGGCTTCTTCCATGACTTAGCAATTATGAATTGGGCTGCAATAAACATTCTGGTACAAATATCTTTGTGTTATTATGTGATTTTTGGTCTTCTGGATATATACCTAGTAGAGGAATTGTAGGATCGAATGGCATTTTTAGATCTCTTAAGTGTTCTCCAAACACTTTAAACATCTTTCTAAAAGTAACATATTAGTTTGCATTGCCATCAGCAGTGTAAAAGTGTTTCCTTTTTTCCAC